TTGGAGATTAAAAATTAAAATAAAACTTTGGATTATACTCGTAATAATAACAATAATTAAGAATGTCAAATATTTGCGTAAATCTGAGTAAGTATTACTAATCTATACATATAATAGAATTGTAACTAAGCCGAATCTGTACATTAAATATTTTTTGGAAAATCTTATTGAAATAGACATTATTATCGCTACAGAGGCCGAATCTATAGTTTTTAGAATTTTTGTCTGTCTGTCTGTCTGTTAATGCATCACAGAAAAACCACTGGAGGGATCTTGATGAAATTTGGTATGGTGATAGCTGGTTATTCGGGTCAACATATAGGTTACTTTTTACCGCGGGAAAATGTCTCATTTCTGAGAAAAAATACAAAAACTGCATTGCAAGATTATACTAATATGTAAAACCTAAAAATTTGGTTTTTGGGCATCTGAACGCAGGCGGAGCCGCGGGCAATGCTAGTTGGTAAATAAATACTCAAAATATATTGATAATTTATTATTTTGAGAATACATAAAAATAATATTTGCATATCTTTATCATTTTACGAATATTTGTTATCTTAAGTCTTGACCAAGGTTAAGGGCAGCTTTAATCAGACATTGAACGTACACATCTATTTTTTTTGGACATTAACACACAGCCCACACAGCAGCTTGTGTTATGGATACCAGACAGTTGATACACTACATATATATAACTTTAAACACATACATATTATAAATATAAACACCCATGACTGGAGTACAAACATTCGTGCTCATCACACAAATTAATGCTGGGAGTCGAACCCGCGACCGCTGGAACAGCTAGTGGGGTGACCACAAGCTTATGGTATATACAATATTATGAACGCCGCTTGAGGGTAAATAAAAATTATAGCATATAAATCGAATATACGAATATATATATATATGCCTCTGTCTATAAGTAACTGCCTCGGTGGTGTAGTGGCTAGCATGAACGGCACACCCGGAGGTCGTGGGTTCGAGTCCCGGGTCGGGTCAAGTTTAGTTATTGAGTATTTCTGTATAGTAAGTCTCAGTAACAGCCTGGAGTTGGGAAGTTGGCGGTGTTTCACCCCCGTGCCTCGGAGAACACGTAAAGCCGTCGGTCCTGCGCCTAAGCTCTCACCGGTCGTGTTGAGTGGTCGTCCCATCGGAGTATGAGAGTGACAGGAATAGAGAGTGCACGTTGTGTCTGCGCGTACACTTGTGCACTATAATATCTCCTGCGCAGTTGGCTAGTCTCAATGAGATTGGCAGTCGTGGCCGAAATCGGCTAGGAGAACATCATCATATATGTATATTCCGATACTGCCTCGGTGGTGTAGTGGCTAGCATGTACGGCTGCACACTCGGAGGTCCTGGGTTCGAGCTCCAGGTCGGGCCAAGTTTAGTTATTGAGTCTTTCTGTATAGTAAGTCTCAGTAACAGCCCGGAGTTGGGAAGTTGGCGGTGTTTTACCCCCGTGCCTGGGAGAGCACGTAAAGCCGTCGGTCCTGCGCTTTAACTCTCACCGGTCGTGTCAAGTAGTCATCCCACCAGAGTATGAGAGTGACAGGAATAGAGAGTGCACTTGTGTCTGCGCTTATACTTGTGCACTATAATATCTCCTGCGCAGTTGGCTAGTCTCAATGAGATTGGCCGCCGTCGCCGGAATCGGCCAGGAGAACATCATCATATTCCGATATGTCCCAGGCAACGTTTTAGCAGAAAATTCCATGTGCCTATTTTCGTATATTAATTATTTTCACTAGACCGGGATCTAAATGATCGATATCGATACCTAAGCACTGTTATATTAGAAGATATCACGTGACCTTTGGCACAATAGCCAATATCATAATAATATATCTCATTTATGTACGAATTCGTTAACTTATATAATATTTCTATGTATTTACTACTAAACATGGCACTCGTCGATTGTTTTGGGCGGCGTGTACTATATTATAATTCGTTTAGACACCTTATTTAGTAATGGGTACTATGTTGACATGGGTCTAGATAGAGCGGTCACGTATGAATCAGTGGCCATTCTATTCCACATGCCAGCAAAACGCACATTTAACATTTTCAGACAGGTAAGCCGGCCTTACTTTTCCTAGCGCAACTATTGTCGCAATATATATATCGCTTCACTCGGGTTCGTCCCTAGGTACGTTTTAAATAGATATAAATAGTTATTATTCAGCGTTAGCCATATACATTTAAATTGTTAACCGAACACAGTAGCTATTGAAATTATTGTCTGTTTTTTTGTATACCTGTGTTCATTTCTACGGGAAAACACAATAATTGGTTCTGTTAAGTCGTCACCGCACATTAAGTTAGAATTCGTCAAGCCATTTATGCTTCCAAGTTGGCAAAATAAATAAACAGTAGCAAAAACCACTAGCATCCTTAAGCATATTTTTTTAATTAAATAAAGAAACTGATAATGTTAATTAAGTCCACTACAATAAATTATGAGTGACGATTTAATACTGTTTTTTAGGTATTTAATAATCTTGAAGTGATTTATGGAGGTCCAGTGCGATAGTAACGGGCTAACTGCAAAATGACTCTATTTTTTGACCTTAAAAATAAGAGACCGTACTCAATAGAAATAAATATAGAAACAATAAAAAACTGTTACAGAATACAAAATTATTAATGAAATTTCATTCTTTCACATTGTTCATTAAATTGTTCCTATATTAAATGTATGGGTAAGAGGATCGGGTGCAGTACTGATGGCTTTACGTGCTCTCCATTTCATAAAATACAAAGTATCATCTCATGAGTGTTTGAAGCTATAAATATATTTTATTTTAATTTTTGATATTAAAAAAAAGTATTAGGGCGAATGAGAACCTCCTCCTTTTTGGAAGTCGGTTATTTTTTTTAAATAATCATTGATGATCAATATTTTGTTACAGTTAAAATATAAAAACGTTTATAGTATAAAAGGTAATAATAAAATAATAAGTTGTAATAAAAATAAGTACTAATGTATACGCCGCATTTACATATCGTATGATTTCTCCTTGTATAAACATCGCAGGCAAATTTTACTTGTTGTGCCAGCGCTCGCGGGTTCGAGTCTCGCTAGGGGCATTCATTTGTGTGATGAGCAATAATGTTTGCACTCCAGTCATGGGTGTTTATATTCAAAATATGTATATATTTAAAGTTATATATGTGTAGTGTATCAACTATCTGGTATCCATAACTCGAGCCTCGTAGCTTACTATGGAACTAGATGGTGCTGTGTGTTAATGTCCTAACATATTTATTTATTGTAAATTGGTGTGTTGTAAAATACAATACTAAGTAGTTAGAGTTTCTGAGATCAAGAAAAACAGACCTAAAGAGAGGCTAAGACGGGAGCTGCGCTTCGCTTCGCACTTAGAGACGTACATGATCGAAGCGAGGGTAAGACACTAGTTTTAAATAGGATTTAAAGTAGTTAAATATTTTATTAATGGCCTCAAAACGCGCCAGTTTTATTTGATTAATTATGACATTTGCCGACAGTAAGTGGTCGACAGTTGACTGGTTTGCACACTCGACATAAACCTACTTGTTTATTTGGCCAGTATACGCGATTTTTTTATGTTGGGAAATACATTTACGCATAGGACCCGTATACTGGTGGTTATGTGGGGTTCACTTGCTAAAAAAACCAGAACTACCCTCTAAAACCCAACAGAACCTCCCTCGCCTAATTGGGGCGTCGCAGAATCGCTTACGCACTCAACCACGAGGCCCCGACTCGACGGCAGTTCTGCCGAAGGAGATCACACAAAAAAGGAGTTGCTTCCACAATTCACTCTGCTGTCACAGAAGTACCAGGACCAAACCGCATAGGACACCGCCCACCGAAGTGGGCTACCTCCCTATGTGTTTCTTGGCTTCGTGCCCGGTTGGGTTGCTGGACGCAAATGAGTCCCCCCACTAAGACAAGGTGAACATACATTGGCGGAGTATACGCGCTAGCCCAAACCAGCTTAATTATCGAGCAGATTAAGTTTGCAGTCTGCGAACGCACTTACATAGTATTATACTTTACTACATGCAAATACAATATTACAATTTACATTTGAAATAAATCTGTAATAGTAGCTAATTGGTCTAACTTATCTAGGTTTCAACGGTTTTTGTGTCTTTGTCTATTAGTCCAGTCATTATAGACATAAAAGGGTGCTTTCGCTACAAAAGGCCAAGGATTGTTCTTATTTGGTTGATTGTTACAGTTTGGTATCCAATTAATTAATAACCTGAGTTTGCGACCTTGAGCGACCGTTTCAAATTCGGAATATCAATTAGAGAATTAAACTGGAACAATCTGCTAAATTAGAACTTCCCTTGACCTTTTATAAGTCAGAACCTACCAAGTACTCCGAATCAATTTATATATCTATTATATATAATTACAGGTAATAATCATTTATTTAAGAAAATATCCATAATCTATCCATATTTTATTTTATATTAATTTAAAATCAATTGGTATGACGGACATGACTGAGCATTACTTGAGAAAGGCTCGACCGATTTGGCAGATTTTTTTTCGTTGTGTTCAATTATCCGGACAAGGTTTCTATGAACGATTTTTTGAAAACATACAATTTAAGTATACGGTAACCGACTAAATAAAGAAATTCGCGTGTGGAACCATAGACAGTGAGTAGTTAGAAATAATCGAGCATCTGCCGAGAACTATTCTTAGATGTCGCGCATGCGTTCACAGACGTATTCGTCAGTTCTGTCATTAAGACGTAAGTTTTTGTTTTTGTGTGATAAGACTTTTAGTATTTTATGTTGTTTTTTAATATTAATAAATTATAAAGAATTTAGTGATTTGACCATTTCATAACGGAACTTAAATATTTACCTAACTGTAAAATAAACATTCATTAAGTACAAAATGTAAATAAATAGCCAATATTTTTATGGGTACATATGATTTATTTCAGTATAAACGGGAATATTAAAATTTTATCTAATAAAACATAATGACCGAGACAGAAATCCTGAATCCTAACTATGACATAAATATTTGGATGAGAACGTGCGAAGAAGAAGTTAATGTGCCTTTGCAGGGTAAAGTAACAGGTACGAATTTTTAAATGATTTCATGATTTTAAAAATTGGACTAAATTTAAAGTCGTTTTGTTCATGCCTGTTGATCTGTATATTATTATATAAGTTGTACTCAATGGATTTTTGAATTTTCATGTAAATTAAAACAATTTTTTTAATTTCGGGGTTTTCCCTAGGTGATTCTTTAGATTGACATAACTTTTTTATTTATGAACCGGTTGAAATAAAACAAATACTAAAGGTTAAGTGATGTTGTTTAATACATTAGTGAAAACTTTAACCAAATCGGTTAAGCTGTTTCTGAGATTAGCGCGCACTAACGCACAGACAAATAGACAAAAATTCCAAAAAATATTGTTTTAGGTTCCGTTGCGTTATAAAGTTCCGTTCTGCCTCAAGAGTTTTTACTTTGTGTACCTGTTTTACATCCATTTGGACGTACCTACCTACTTAGACCTATAAAAACACTTGCTTAATTATAATTTTATTATTAACTGGTTTTTTCCGCTAACTCTATTAGCGTGTAAAGTGAGCTGAATTTTAAATTTTTAATTCTGTTGAGTTCGAAGTTGAATTAATTTAATCTTTGCATCAATTGTTTAAGGGGAAATACCGCAATGGCTTCAAGGAAGCCTCATAAGAAATGGTCCTGGATGTAACAAAATTGGCTCATCCCAATATCAACATGTGTTTGACGGCTTAGCTCTATTGCATAAGTAAGTGTAAAATTTCTTTCCTGAATAGATTCAGGAAACTTCAATCAAAAAGTAGTGGTACAAGTGAAGAAAAAATATTCGACGTTATAATCAAATTTGTTCGAATGTACGTAATATTTTAAGATTTTTTTTAGATTTACCGTCAAAGATTGTAGAGTGACCTATCAATGTCGGTTCCTTCGTTCAGAAACTTATAAGAAAAATAAAGCTGCAAATCGTATCGTCATTACAGAATTTGGTACGAAAGCTATTCCCGATCCTTGTCATACTATATTTGATCGGTAAGTATTAAATTTTCACATATTATCTGTAACTATTTATTATGCTTAAACGAGAAATCGTACCGTTGAAAAATAGAAAAAATATGGGAGTGACATAATATTAATTGATTCAAGACACGTTTGGCTCAGTTTGTAGTGACCATTCTTGCTGTGACAGCGGTCGCGGGTTCGAGGCATTGATTAAATTATTGTGAGATGAACACGAATGTATGTACTCCAGTCTCGGTTGTTTATATTTATAATATGTATGTATTTAAAGTTATATATGTATAGTGCATCAAATGTCTGGTATTCATAACACAAGCCTTGTAGCTTACCATGAGACTAGATAGTGTGTTAATTTCCCAACATATTTAATTATTTATTTATTCTACGATACAACGATTAAAGATGTCAAGTTCAATAGAATTCTCAATTCTTCAACGATTGTAGAGTGATATTTTTTCTATTAGATAATGTCCTGAAATTTTATTATGCATTCTTATTATGTTATACAGTTACTTCATATTTTTTCTCAAGAACATCGGCTTGTGGTTATAGGAAATAAACGCAATTTCCAGCTAGAGAAGCAGTTACATATGTATATCCCTCTACATTACTCAATAATTAATAATTGTTAAATTAGTTTAATAAATAGTTCTTACTCATAAAAGTTATATAGCTTTCTTTTACTTTTAGCATATCGTCAATCTTTAATTTCAAACTGGAGAAAACCGATAATGCAGCAGTCTCGATTTATCCTTTTGGAGATCAAATATACGCGATGACCGAAGTACCTACGCTTTATAAGTAAGTTTGTTTTGTTATAACAACTAAAGAGTTTTAAATTAAAGCATTCTAATGTTTAAGCTAGAGGGTCGAAATAGAAATCTGTTAATAAGCTTACACTATTCGGCATCCATCATTTTTTCTACCCCTACTTAAGAAGCACACATTAACACCTCCAGGTAAATTTCTAAGAAATTAATTAAATTTCTAAGAAATATATTGTTAACTGACACGCCGGCGTGTCCGCGGTCGTGGAGGGATTAACATCCTTATATTTTTGAGGATTTTTTAAAGAATATCTATTATATCATAAAGGGTCCACATACATAAATAAGCAATGATAAGGCAGTGATAGCCCAGTGGTAACGCGCTCGCATGGGAAACCGAGTGAAGCGGGTTCAAATTCCAAATCTCGCACCTCGGATATTTTCATGGGCGAATCATTTCTAATATGATTTACCACTTATCTTTGATGAAGGAAAACATTATGAGGAAACCTGCATGTCTGAGGGAACTGTACGTCTAGCAAGTTTTCAGGCAAGGGCATGTGAAGTCCGCCAACTCGCACTTGGCCAGCGTGATAAGAAAAAAACAATTTCTGTCTGTCTGTCTGTTTGTCTATTTGTTCCGGCTAATCTCCTAAACGGCTGCACCGATTTCCGGAACTTGGCAAATAATTGATGTTATAAGGAGTAACTTAGGCTTTTATTTTGGAAAAAGAATTAAGGTTCCGCGCAAAAAAATTAAAACCCTTCCAACTGTTAACAAAACAGCGTACCTAGAGACGTACCCGGACAAAGCGAGGATAAGTCACTAGTCACATATAAAAAGCTGAAGAAGTATCTAATGATTAGTATGACTAATGATTAATTATTGATCTAAAAGTATATATGTACATACTCGTAATACGCTTTGGCGAAGACGTAGACACGAACTACTATATCTGCCTAGTAAGATATTTAAATTATCATTTTTACACTAAATGCGAATAATTTTATTATTCCATAGCAATAAAGTTGAAACAATAGATCCATTAAAGTTAAGGTCAAATAAAGTTACTATCTACCTATTTGATAGTAGTTTCATGTTTTTATCACTCAGGCGCATGCCTAAGTATTTATTTATAAATTAACTAGCGGCTCACCCTTGCTTCGCTTGTAATCGTCCCTATTCCATAGTGAAAAATAAAAACAATCTATCCCACGGGAACTGTACATTTTCCGGGATCATATGTGCTATTACAGACTATAATCTATCACTGTGTAAAATTTTATCCAGATCCGATCATCCGTTCTAGCGTGATTGAGTAACAAACATCCATCAAACCAAACTTCCGCATTTATATAGTAGTAAAGATTATATAATTATTTATATTCTACGAGTACGTGAACGTGTTTAGTTTTTATACTTATTGTAATTAGAAAATTACTGTCAGTCTCTAGTTCATAAACTATCTATACCTATAGCTAAGCTGTTTCTGCAATCGAAAAAAGAAGAATATAAAAAAATGTATAGGAAAATTTTAAAAAGAAATTTAAAAATCAAATTTCTTTGAATGGTACTATGATTGTATGACATAACGATTACCTTCAATAGTAGGGGAGACCAAGAGGGGATTTTGATATTTACCCGATCGCGGCAGATTAGCATAAGGGGGGATTACCTTGCACTCTGTTGAGTACCTCAACCAAAGACAATACTATGCTCAAAATTTTTTGTCTGAGCTATATTTTTGATAAAACTTACCGTTTTCGAGAAAAATCCAAGAAACTGAAAATTTTGACCTTTGACCTTGAATAACTTTTTAGCACACATGGGATCGATGGGCACTTTTGCCACTTTATTTGTACTGGTGTACCCAAGGTCTCTACCAAAATTCAGCTCTGTTGGAGTTTTTGTTATTTGAAATGTCTTTCTTGACCGTACTATAAACAGGAAGACTTAATTACTAAACTTGGCCCAATCCGAGACCCGAAGCCAGAACCTCTGGATGTACTGCCGTACATAATACACATCTATCTATACATTATAAATAGCCAAAGTCCAAACAGCTCAGTAGGTACCTAACATTTTATACTCCGTTTTTCAACCGATTTTCTTTTTTGTTTAGTAGCTATTGATGAGCTTTAGTGTTATCAATAAAACAAAACTAATTACATACATAAGTAAATTCTCCTCATGTTTTCCTCTTTTGAATAAATGATTATAGTCGAATTTCGACCAGTGGGCGAGCACTAGTATGGATTATAGAAACTTCAGTGGCGGAAGATATTTGTCGGCTGGCACCGACTTCGAAAATATCTGATTAGGTATCTATTCTAAATGAAAATCCCCGTTTAGTTATTTTTTACATTTTAGTGCCTAGAAGTCGATTTTTTTTTAATTTAAAGCCTTTATTTTTCAATTTTTAGTTTAGACGTAATAAGCAGGTAATTTGTAAGAAGAAAGTTTTTTAACAATATATTCGATGAAGCATTTTATTAAAAAATAATAATTTATTGTTTATTTTTAAAATCCGCTCGACCAATTTCGAAAATATTTAAATGGGACCACCTGGGAAAAAAAAAATATTTCCCAATCGGTTCAGGCACCTTCGAGTAAACGGTGGGCATACATAAAAAAAAAGGTTCCGACGAATTGAGAACCTCCTCCTTTTTGGAAGTGGGTTAAAAAGGTAGCACAAATATAATAAGTGACAAGAATCTTTCGATGTGTCTCTCGAAACTACAATAATAAATTAATTCATAATGATTCACATAGAATGATAACCTACATAGATTCACTACAATCGTTATAATATTATTGTTAAGATGACATGTAGGTATAGGGATGACGTGTACACTATTAATTAATATTGTAAATTCCTTATAAATCACAGAGATTTCTGAATATTGTTTTTTTTGTCGCAGAATTGATCCTGGATCCCTTGAAACGTTGGGCTCTAAGCAACTATCAGATGCATTGTTAGTAGCACACACAGCTCACCCTCATGTTATGCCTAACGGTAAGCTTACGAAAAAATATTTAATATTCAGTGAGAAATCATAAGTGTACGTCGTTTGGTCTTACACGATCATCTGTATTAACTTCATTATATTTTCTATAGCTTGTAACTTAGATTCAAGATCTTTCATTACATATTATTTTACATATAAATGAATTTTAAATATGCATTCGTGATTTCATAATAGCCCATATTAAAATTGAAATACATACATATAAATATTTAAATAGTGTCTGTCAGTCTGTCTTTTTGTGCACGCAAATCTTCATCTCACGTTTCTCTCAGGCTACTAGTAGTACGTGCAATTAGACCGAAACTTCAACATCCAATGTAAAAGTTTCCCTTCCGCTTCAAATTGGTCTATACAGTCCACATATTGTTTGGTAAAAAGTTACACCCTTTTTAGCGTCGGGTTTGGGAGGAGGGAGATTAAAAGTAGGTAAATTAGTAGTTTCTATCAGTTTATCTTAAATATTTCGAAAACTATGCGGCTTAGCGTAAAAAGTGTAATTTACAAAAATTATGTACATTAAATTGCTAACATAAATGATTCATGCATAATCTTGCTAAAGTTACGAAAAGTAGCAATTATAAATACGCCTACGCCTTCACAGGATGTGACACTGTATCAGTTATGGAATCGTTCACTTTGGCAAGATTTTGCACGAAACCATTTGTTTATAATTAATAATGTAGATTATTTTTTTATATGACACTTTTTGTGCTAAACCGAATAGTTTTCGAAATATATAAGAAAAACTGATGAAAAGTACTAATTTACCTCCTGTCCTTCCGAAGCCCGACGTTCAAAATGGTGTAACTTTTTATCAAATTATATGTGGAGAAAAATTTGAATTGGCGCGAAACTTTTAGCTTGGATATCGAGGTTATGCTATTTTTTGGACTAATTGTAGTGTACTATACGATTAACTTTAACGAGATAATTGGCTGATAGAGGAATCGTGTAATAGTGCTTTTATAGAATAGCGATTTTTAATATTAAATGGGGGCCATGATTGAAGGTGCATTACAAATAATACAAAGTTTTTGACAAAACTATAAAGTACACTTATATACTTATATATATTTTTTTATTTCAGGAGACGTCTATAATGTCGGTCTGAACGTTGTTAAAGGGAATTTGAGTCATGTTGTCGTCAAGTTTCCGTACAGTGAAAAAGGTATGCCTGCCTATATTTATATTATGTATAAAGTATCTAAAAATAAAACAATCCGTATACCAATCTAATAATATTTGTCTGTCTGATAATAATGTTTGTTCAATGGATCAAAAACTATTTAGGCCTCTAACTCAAATAAGTAGTTTTATTCGCCTTTAAATAATAACATTGAAAATGATTTGCATAAGGAAATCTCAGAGTTGTTAGGCCTTGGAGCCCAAACTTGCTTTACTTGGTTTTCCAAACAGACGCGTTACTACTGGGTTCTATTAAGAACGAGTATAGTGATAAAATTTTGTTTTCCTGATCTTATAAAATAACATAAATGTAAATAGATAATATTGTTAAACATAAGCCTTGTGGCCTGTTTTCGCTTGTTATGGAAAAGAGAAGACAACTTAACGTTGCTAGGTGTAAGCTCAATTATACAAGGTAATAACTTTTTTGCTAAATAAAAAAATGAATTTGAGTATTGGAAATGTTTATTTGGACCTTTACAATTTTTTTTGTTAAGTGGAACAGATGATATCCGCCAAGTGGCTGCTGCCAGTGTTAATACACATTTGTGCCCGTTTTATCGCAGTTCCCATGACTATCCACAAGATTTCCGTGATAACTGTTGGCATTCCTATTGAATATTCTCTTTAAGGGCTGCGACTGACTTGTTGGAATAAGCCCGCGACTTCGAGTCACCTCAAAGAAAGAAGTCTGGGATGGTTAAATCGGACGATCTTGCTGGCAATGCCAAATCGTCAAAACGGGAGATTACGCGACTAGGAAATGCTTCCTTCATAATATCCATTGTGGCTCGTGCTGTATGTGCGGTTGCACCGTCTTGTTGAAACCACATGTTCACCATGCCCAACTCTCATCCAACCATCATCATCAGTCATCGTTTATCATGGGCTTTGTAGCGTTCGCCAGTGACAGTGACCATATTGCCGATGAAAAAATATGGCCCAATCGCTCCTCCCGAGTGAACACCGCACCACACTACAATTTCACTAAAATTCGCCGTCTTGTGATACCCGATTGGGTAGGCCGTCGTCTGGTTGATGTTTTTTCGTTCTAAGCGACATCGGCAGCCACAGCCGCGATATTCTCGGCCGAAAGACTCGTCCGGTGGCAGCCAGGCCCTGCAAGGCTTGTGTGATTCCAGTCTGTTCGAGTCGAGCAGCTAAGCGCCGGAATGTTTGGCCAGTTGGCGCGACACGATTAGTAAATCGACGTCGAAATGCACCCTGCGCCAACACCACCGACCGATTATTGGTCGAAAAAATCGACTCAATCATGCCACGCTCTTGCGGAGTATAACACTCCACTGCTTGTCTGTTTGTATACTGCAGCTATCTAGACCACAAATGTTAAATATGATTAACGTACGACGCCATTTGCAAAAATTACAACATCTTTCGATAGATAATCGAATTATGATTAATTTTGAGCCACCTTGTATATACTTAAAACTATATTTTCGGATGATTTGCGGATTTATTTTGATTTTTGGTTCCCGACGTTTCGAATGCTTTACAGGAATCATGGTGACCGTGACCATGTGACCATGACGTGAATTATTTAAAACATAAATTAAATTTCATAAAAAGTACCGATAACCCCCAGAACTTAGACTAATTTTGCGCGTGTACACATTTATACACGCACTCTTTATTTTTTTATTAATATGTTATTTATGGTATGAAATACCTCTAAGAGTATTTAGTAGTGTTCTAAAGTAAATTTATTTATTGTTTTAGGTGATATGTTTGAGGCCGCCGAAATCGTAGGCAGCGCAAAACCACGATGGCGACTTAACCCCGCTTACATGCACTCGTTTGGTAAATAATTTAATAACATTTAAAATGAAATTAAAAAAAATCAAGGAGAAATTAATATTTTAATCAATATAGTCAATTTGATTTATTAAAGTCTTAAAAATAAACTTACTTCAATGATAATAATATCATATACATATGTAGGTCATATTCTTATAATCACATAACCAGAGACAATTGCGAAAATTATAGCAATGACATATTTATACATCAGAAATAATCTTAATGTCTACATTAATGTTGTAAAGGATAAGATATTTTGATTGCTTATTTTATTTCAATGCCCCAATCTCTGAAACAACCAGTTATGTCTGAAGAATTATTTTCACATATATAACCTACTATCAGAACGCGCGGCTTCGCTCGCGTTAAAACTACAAAAAAAACTATACAGAGGTAGATTTCATGCAAACTTTCATACCCCTTTCTTACCCCCTTGTGGGATGAATTTCAAAAATGCTACAGCACGTATTTATTTAATTGAATTAAAGAGCATTAATACCAAGTTTCACATAATATTGATCATAAATAGTTTTTTGGGTTGTATTATAACGTGTTTTCCCGTGGGAATGATATAATCTTCGGCAAAAAAGTAGCCTATGTTACTTTCCAGCCTTCCAAGTATCTTCACACAAAAAATCACGCCGTTTCGACGTGAAAGAAGGACAAAAAAACAAACACACTTCCACATTTATAATATTAAATTATTGAAGTATTGATATGGATATATTGATGAATATCATGAAGAGCAGCAGAAAGAAAGTACATAGGTATACATAACCAGTGACGAGAGCGAAGTCGCAGTCATAAGCTAGTAAAATTATTATTTTTTTAAATCACGTGCAAGATAGCGCCCGCCACTCTCCTATGTAAAATCATTACAATTTAATGTTAAATTTTAATTTGTATATTTACAGGTATAACAGAAAACTACTTTGTTATAATAGAACAACCACTGTGCGTGTCTCTTATAAAAAACTTTTGTCGTTATATCACCAAAAGGCCGATTTCATCGTCTCTGGTGACCTATCCCGATTATGAGGTAACCTAAAGTAAGAGCCCGCATGCCTAAACGATGGTGACTGAGACCATAGTCTTAGCTATCAATGATTGTATGATGGTCATTTACTAACGTCCGTGGTCGTCGTCACGGTTGCCTAATGCACGGACGGAGTGTTTTATATTAGCGGTTTAATTAAAATGAGCTCTATTTTTACAAGCTTTTATTTAGTTTTACCTGTCCCGGTGTTTGTCTGTCTGTAATCAAATCTTGCTAGTAAAATTTGACTAAACGTCATTCTAAATCCAATATGGCGGACTCCCGAAGATGGCGGATTATGTTTTTTTTTTGTGAACTCCCATGATATGGATATCAAATGAAAGGGTTTGATGAGAAGAATACGAATAAAATAAGGACTAAAAAAAAACATTTTTATAAACAAAAAGCTTGATTTAAATAGAGAAGTTGCATTAATTTTTTTTGCCACAAATTTATATACAAATGAAAGAATAATAGATTTAAAAGATATTTAAAGAAATATGACCTGTAATGAGCAATGACAATTTTTTTGGTTTTGACAACGTAAACACGTGTTCTAGCATTTCGCCATGCGGTGGCGTTACTAAAACGATATAAAATAATTTACATTAAAAAAAACACTTAATTGTAAAATTATATGAAAACTCAAATAATAAAAAACGTGCAACTTCTCTATGCTCTTAAAAGAAGAAAGAAACTTTAAATTAAATCAAACCCAACAATTTATTACTTTACATAATTTATATGATATAAAAACTTACCTGGAGATTTACCTGTGTAGATAAACAAGAATATAGGTAATATTTCAAATAGGTAAATCTCGCGACAAGCTTTTATATCATATAAATTGTATAACATAATAAATTGATAAATTTGATTTAATTTAAAGTATATTTTTTCTCTTTTTAGAGTTTTTAAATAAATAGCTTGTTCTTAAAAATATTTTTTTTACTTTTTACTTTTAATTAATTATTTATTTGTTCAAGCCGAGCTTTGCCATGTTATATGCTTCTAAAGCCATAAATATACATTGATGCCTCCTATTATTGAAATTGTTACTTAAAAAATACACAAATTTTAAATACCATAAATACTTTATTTACACATTATACAAATAAGACAAAATTTAATCTTTATTATTTTTTAGACAAACGTGATATTGATACACCGGGAGACAGGTGCGGAGACACGTTACAGCACGGATACAATTTTCTTCATGCACATAATAAATTGCTTCGAATCCGACGGACAGGTCATGGTCGATATGTGTTCATATAAAGATAGTAAAATTTTGGATGCTATGTATATTGAAGCATTACAAGTAAGTTAATACTTATTTCACTCACTTTACACTCTCAATTTTTTAAACAGAGCATGGCAATATTTATCAAATACTAGCGGCTCACCCTCGCTTCGCTCGGGTTCGTCGCTAGGTACGTTTTAAATAGATATAAAAAGAAAAAATCTTTCTTTCTCACATTTTAATTATATGTTTTAATACTTACCTATTCCGGACTAAGAGAAATCCAAAAATTAAAATATCATAAAAATTGGAACGCGGTCGAACGGGATAAAAAGTATCCTATGTCCTTCTCCTGGCTCTAAACTACCTCCCTGCCAATTTTCAGCTAAATCGGTTCAGCCGTTCTTGAGTTATAAGCGAAGTAACTAACACGACTTTCTTTTATATATATAGATTTGCACCATAAGATTAGTAATAAGTAATATAGTAAAAAAATAATAGTTTTTTTGTTTAGTTTCTTAATTTGTACTACAACAAAAAATACTATTAATTATTTCCATTTAGGTAAATATTTACATATACTTGTATTTGTGAAGTGTGTGAAAGTACTATGCAGTGTAGTAGTTAGTAACTCAACATTATTCTTCGGCTTCTGTCATTGTCAAGGTAACATGTGGGATTTTATATAAATTCTATTGTAAACATTCTCTATGCACAAATATTATGTCCGCGAGCTCTATCACAGTATGCCGTAAATATAAAACTCAGAATGAACTATACAGAGCCATAAAGGTTGCCTATGCTTACATTTTTTATTTAGTAATTGTTGAATATTTCACTGAACAGTCGATGCATAGTAACCCTGACTACGCTCAATGGTGTCAAAGTCGCCCCAAGAGGATAGTAATACCTCTGGATGCACCTACACTGAGTAAAGTCGAGACACGAGATATAGCAGACATTGGTGTTGAAGCACCAAGGATAAATTATGAAATGTGTAATGGTAATTGTATTTTTTTTCTTTATTTTATTTATCCATTTATCAATCGTAGTACTGATATGTTGATTTATATATACTAATAGGTAATATTTTTTCAGGTCGTCCTTACAGATATTTCTATGGGATTGGATCAGATGTGGATACACAATACTCTGGATCGGTAATGTATAATGACTATAATTCTATTTTATACGTTTATTATATAAGTAATAACTAAATTTATTTTTATTCTGGCCAATATAAATTAATAAAGTTATAAAAATATGTTTTTAGACGATTTTCTCTTTTCCACCGATTTTTGATTAATTTTTAACTTTAACTTAACTTTCCAGCGCTGCTTTTGCTTGATAAATCCGTCAAGGGAAGTGAATGCTAATTATAGACTTTTTTAAATGGATTGTGACTTTAGAGTAATGTAATAGTTTTATTACTTACTATTACTAGCTCAAGCTAGATTCATGGACATAGTAATATATTGTAAAGTAATAAAACGTCCTTCTGAATTCAACACGTATTAATAACAAAAAAAAATTTGCAGATAATCAAAGTAGACACAAAAACAGGCGAATTTTTAATTTGGCATGAGCCTCAATGCTCTCCAAGCGAGCCTATATTTATTGCTCATCCAGGTGCAAAAGTAAGTATTTATAAATAACATATACCTATACAAACGCTCATGGCTTTCCGCTTTCGCGCGTCGATCTGAGCGAACGTGTCCATGCCCGTTGCCCAGTCCCTGGTGACTAATCTGCTTGCTGTTTTTGCTACTGGCACCGGCTGCCTCCTACTAACCGACGAAGGTTAGGTTAAAATTCTGATATAAGTAGTGTCTATACGTATACCCCACGCTTCTCAACGGAAGCGAGGACTTAGGCCCATCACCCCCCCCCCCCCTCCCGGCAAGGGGGACGATAGAAGTTGTTAGTTTTTAAGAGTGTAGTTATAAGTAACTCGCGAGTGCTTGGGGCTGGAGTCCATGTTCGTTGGAACCCAGCCCCAAAACTGGTTCGGAGACCCTTCTGGCCTTTCTTAGAAAATTCTACCCGGGCCCGCGCCGCTCTCATGACACCGGTAGGCCGAACCCTGACCTCTGACCTATAAATTGTCATGGACTTTGTAAGTTTATTTGATATCCGCGAACTTAGAAAAACGACGCCCATCAGGCGAGCTTACAGGCCGTGGTCGAGTACCAGGCCTCCTTGACACGATCACACAAGTACTCTACAGATATACATTGCACACACTCTCCGGACGGGTAAACTAGACCACCTTCTACCCTCCCCCGTGCCCGGCGACGCTGTCAAGGCCCCTAGGGTTTACAGCATTTGTATCCATAAGATAACAGGTAACAAACACTTATTGCTCGCTCTATCGACTAAGAATTTGAAATAGATGAAAATGTGAAAATATAAATGAAAAAATATAGTGTGTAATTAGAATATAGAATAGAATATTTACAGGATGAAGACGATGGTGTGTTGCTCAGTGCAGTGCTCTGGGGTAAAGAAGACCACGCCGTTACACTGTTAGTGTTAAATGCTCGTAATCTTAAAGAAATAGCGCGCGCGCACTTTACCACGCCTTCACAAATACCCAAGTGTTTTCATGGTTGGTTTATTCCTGACTAATAAATATGTATAGGTATTTTACACAAACCTTTAGGTACTATAATTATGTAATTATAATATAATTATGTTATTATAATATATGTATGCATAAGTTTTATTATTAAATATAATAATGTCTATTTTACCCTATTAAAATAATAAAGGTCTACACGGTCTTATGTTTAATTTCTATAACCTATATTTATATAGGTAGTGTTAGCCCAATGGTAACGCGCTCGCTTGGGAAACCTAGTGAAGCAGGTTCAAATCCTGGATTTCGCATCTCTGATATTTTCATTTCCAACATGATTACTTCTGTTTTACGGTGAAGGAAGACACTGTGACGAAACTTGCATGTCTGAGAGAACCTAGCAGGTTTTCAAAAGACATGTGCAGTCCGCCAACATGCACTTGGCCAGCGTGGTGGACTATGGCCTGATCCTCCTCGTATTGAAGGGAGGGCCGTGCTCAGCAGTGGGACGTTATAAAAGGGCTGAACACACATATTTAACTAGAAGATGAATTTATGCTAAATAACACCTGAATTTAAAATATTTCAGTAATTAGTTCAAGGCAATATAATATCTAAGAATTCTTATAACTAACAATAAAATTAATGAAAAATTAACGTAGCTTAACAAGTGAACTAATAATGTTAAAACAAGACATAGAAATATAATAGTATTATGCCGTCTACGACTATTGTTGTGCTACTTGCTGCGGTTCTTGTTACATTCTTGATAGTACTAAGTCACATTATATTATATATCGTATTTAATATTATAAATGTGAAAGTTAGTGAGTATGTATGGATGTTTGTTACTCTTTCACGCCAGAACGGCTGAATGGATCTGGATGAAATTTGGCACAGAGATAGATTATAGTCTGGAATAACACATAGTTTTTTATAAATGGCACTTTTTATCTCGGAAAAATGTACGGTTCCCGTGAGATAGATATGTTTTTGTTTTTTCGCTAGTATTATTTATTAATTTACGAATATTTTTTTTATTTTTTTAGTGAATCTTCATTAAAATTACCATTTAAAAGACTACATACGATAAAACTACTAAAATATATGAAATAGCATCTGGTTTATAAACTCCATCACTGTGCAAAAGAAAATTGTTGGTACGAGATGAAAATGTATTTACTATATGTACTTATATATAGGTATTTGTGATAGGTTTTTGCTATGGTAGGGGAGCCCACGAAGCTAAATGGGGATTTACTCGAGCGTCGTAGAGACCTATTGGGATGCAAAGCTTAGATGATAAGAAGAAAAAAATGTTATATGATATATACCTTTACATCGGTGGGGGAAGCGGCTATAGATTTTTAAATATGTAAAAAAAAACTGTTGCATAGACATCCTCGAGCGCGTCAGATATTGATAGCATCAATGCCCTACGTATTTTTAATAATGTACGTATGTTAATCTGATCGTTTGCATGATGCGGGTGGTTGTATTTAAGGGTTGAAAATGAAAAAAAAAAAAATTTAATCGAGCGCGTCAGATTTTCTAAGGGAGTGTTAATTGCACCAAAAAAAGCTCTCATTCACTAATCTGACGATTTCGATGGGACGCAAACTCGCGGCCATTTTCATAATGTGCAAAAAAAAATCGCCATTTTGAAATACTCAAGCGCGTCAGATTAAGATATATATGGTTCATCTTTATGTTCTAAACGTACTGTCTCATAATCTGACGATTATCTAGAGGGATTCGCCTGATCTGACAAAAAAAAATTAGAAAAACGGTTCACCTTAAAGGCCATACCTGCAACTTCCCGCTAATTCCATTCCTGGGCGCTTAAAATTGTACTTATGACATTTTTGAGCTCAAAATATAATTTATGTGATATTTTGAGCTCGCTGAGTTCAAAGAAATAATATTTCTATGCATTTGAGCTCTCCCAGCTCAAAAGTCTGGTAGAAGTTTCATAGAACACTATTTTTGGAATTTTCAAACCGCAATAACTTTTGAATAGATCAAGCAATTTTCAGACTTAGTGACAACATCATACACGGGGTAGTCACGGGGGTTCTACCGTAAATTTAATTGTTTTTTGTAAGGTACTTTCACCACAAAATACACATTTCAAATTAATGTCACTCATATTAAATATTTATAAACTTTAATTCACACAAATAATATTAAAATAGCAAAAAAAGCCAAAACGTTGGAAACACGTTGTAAACAGTATGCCACGAACGAGTCTTTATGATCAGTTGTGATAGCGTCATGGCGGCAGAAACCAGAGTGGGGACGGAGTGAGAGAGTAATAGATAGAGAAAGAGTGAGAGAGGAATAGACACGCGGAGAAGGAAATGTAAGCATCACGCAGCTGCACGCATTTAACTTTATCGACGAATTTTTGTTATTTCGGCTTGCGGAAATCGTCAGATTATATATTTTTCATTATTCTTGCATTATTTCCTTCAAAATAAAAAAAAATTTAGCTACGCTCGAGAATGTCGAGATGACGTTTTTTTTTACAACTTTGTTGCCCTCCCCTTTTTTTACGTCACTCTCAAATTGTCAGATTAGTGGAATATACACTTTTTAGGATGTAATTAACTCACCCTACCTTAATCTGACGCGCTCGAGAATTTCTGGTGGTCAATTTTTTTTTACTAATCTGATCCTGTATCCTTCACGGGCGGCCTTATATATGGGCCTCATGTTTTGTGGAGGTACTTAACCGGGTACAAGGTATCCCCTGTATATTAATCTGCCGCGCTCGAGAAACTACAGAAAATCCCCTCTTGGGCTCCCCTACTACTAGTAAAGATTGTCTCAAACTTACTATTCGTAATATACAAGTTATCTATACAAATAATAATATATACTACATATAATAAAATTTTAAGTCAGTTGAATCTGTACATAAAATATTTTTTGTAAAATCTATTTGAAATATGTAGTCATTATTATCGATACAGAGGCCGAATCTAAAGTTTTTAGAGTTTTAACCTGTCTATCTATCTGGAAACGCATCAAACTACTGGACAAATTTTAATGATATTTGGTATGGTAATAAGTAGGTATTTGGATTAACATATAGGAGGATCTTTTACTGTGGGAAAATATCTCATGTCTGAGGAAAAAATACAGGAACTGGTTAAAATAAAACCACGCTGAAACTATAAACATTTAGCAAGGTGTAACTTACCTAAATAAGTAAAAAAATAATTATAAATAGATTCTTTTGAAAAAAAAGTATTTCTCTTTATTTATTATCTATACTAATCAGGGCCGTGCCTGGGTATATGGCCGCCTGCGTGCCAGTCTGTATGGCCGCCCCCAGGATAACATTAAAAAAAACTACTTTAATTTTTAATGTTTATTATTATACACAGGGCATCAAACCGGGAAAAAAATCAGTTTTTGGTTAACCGAAATCGAGAACGAAAAAAAATATTGGTTTTGTTCCCAAAACCAAAAATTTTGTGATAAATAACAATAAATGTAATAAAATAATGTATTTACAAGTAAAAAGAAATAGTGCTGCTTCCGCCGTTATAGTTTTTACACCATTTAACAGAACATTTAGTCATTTTTGGGAGATGTTTTGTTGACAAGTAAGTGCTTGAGACTGACACAAAAAACAAACGACCTAGGCTAAAATTCCCTGGTTACAGACATGACCGTTAAAGGTACGTCCGCTTATATGTCTGGTCCAGTGGTTAATTCGTTCATGGACTAGGTATATAAATACTACAACGACCTAATCAGTTTTTATACATTTCTTATTTCTGAGAAACTCTTTTTAGATAGATTAGATTAGAGAAACTGTTTTTACTTCGTATCTTAATGAAAACAAACCGATTGTATTTTTGCCCAGTAAACAACTTGTAACGATTTGGCCGCCTCTTAATTTCGGCTGCCTGCGTGCGGTGCACGCAATGAACGCCCGTCAGGCACGGCCCTGATACTAATATTATAAAGAGGTAAAGTTTGTGATCTTGTGAGTTTGTGAGTTTGTGAGTTTGTGAGTTTGTGACGTTGTAGGGGGTAATCTCTGGATCTACTGAACCGATTTTCAAAATTCTTTTACCAATAGAAAGCCACGTTCTTTCTGAGTGTCATAGGCTATATATTAACCCGAAAAATGAAAAGGTTTTTTCGTGGTAGTCGCATTTGCAAAGTCGGAGAAAAAACGGTCAAACGAAAACGTTTCTTACGAACGCTGCCTTAACGATGAGAGATATATGATTATGTTCTAGAGAAAAGTTGTAGAGCTTAATAATGCCTACAAAAAAGTCAGCGACAGCATATGTCTAACTTTTATATTTAAGTCACAAAAAGTAGTTTTTTATATTAAAAAAAATAATTTAAATCGGTAGGTCATGTTTATTGGTCATATTATCAACAGTTATGAATTCTTATCAAAATAAGTAAATTTATCGTCTAAAATGTTTAAAATAAAAGACTTTTCCCTTTTACTGCATATAATTTGGACAAATGGTTAAAGAGATAATACAACATATTCGTATGTATAGACGAACCCGAGCGAGCTGTTTATCTGTTTTTCTCTTTGTACGGGCTAATCTCCGGATCTATTGGAACTATTTAAATGAAATTTTGCATGGTGGTACCTTATATGCCCGGGCAACATCTTAGATACTTTTCATCCTGGAAGATTAAAGGGTTCCCGTGGGATAGTTAAAAAACTATAACAACTTATACATCTTAGTACACAAAAACTACTGATTGGATTTTAATGAAACTTTACAATAATATAGTTCATACATGCCAAAAACAAATCAGCTACTTTTCATCCCGGAAAATTAAAGAGTTTCCGTGGGATAGTCAAAAAACTATAGTAACTTCTACAGCTTAGTACACAAAAACCACTGATTGGATTTTGGTGAAACTTTACAATAATATAGTTCATACATCAGAATAACAAATAGGTAACTTTTTATCCCGGAAAAATGTACTTTTCCCGTGGAATAGATGTTTTTGTTTATTTGTAACGTATTATGTACACAACATAGACCCCAAAACAATAGTTATTAAAAAAATTGTCTGTTTGTCTATTTGCCTGTATGTCTGTTTGTCTGTTTTTGTGTGCGCGTTTCACGCGAAAAGTAATGTACCAATTTCAACGAAATTTGGTGAAGTGATAACTTATTACTCGAGTCAACATTTAGGGTACCTTTTGTATGTATGTATGTATGTATGTATGTATGTTGTATTCAGCCCTTTTTAACACACGCACGGGCCTCCCTTCAGTACGAGGTGGATCAGGCCATAGTCCACCACGCTGGCCAATATCAGAGGTGCTAGACACGGGATTTGAACTTGCTTCACTCGGTTTCCCAAGCGAGCGCGTTACCATTGGGATACCACTGCCTAGATACGTTTTACTTAAAGAAAATCTTTCCTTCCCACGGGAAAATACAATAACTGGTTCTATCGAATTGTCCTTAGAAATTTATACGGCTAACCTTGGCTCAACCTTAAGAGATAGATCAAAACATTGTACAAGGAAATTGTAAGTCTTAAAAAGGTCTATAGAAAAGTTCTACATAGTATATGTCTATCTCCTAAGGTACACTCGCTATAACTATTTTCATTATTATATATTTCTGTTTTATTATACGTTATTTATTCTATCTGAGTACAGGTACATAATATATGAATAATAAAACTGTAGAGGTCGAATGTCTGTACATAGATGGTAGAAAAAATTGCTAAAAAACGAGTCAGTTCTCTTCTTACATCCCGTAAGGAAAGAAATAGAACAAATCCAGATTTTTTCAATTTTTTTGTTTCTCTGTCTGTTTGTCTGTTCGTGCGGGCTAATCTCCGATACTATTGAACCTATTTAAATGAAATTCGATACTTTTCATTCCGGAAAATTAAAGAGTTCCCGTGGGATAGTTAAAAATTTATAGTAACTTATACAGCTCAGTACACAACAACTTACGCACCTAATTTAGTAAAATTTGGCATGCTGATACCTTATATTGCAGGTCAAACAACAGGTTACTTATTTTTATCCCGTAAAAATGAACGGTTCCCGTGGGATAGATCTGTTTGTGCTTATCTAGAGGTGAACCCGAGCGAAGCGAGGGTGAGCCGCTATTATTTTATAAATAAAAATAGCTCGAATTGTATATTGAGTCCAATCGGAATCCGGTTTGGGAATAAAATATTGAAAACCTGAAGTTTTATTCTTTTAAAATGTTAGCAGGTATATAAGGAATAAAAAGTCGTAAAATGCCCCATCTGCCCAGCTACCACCGATAAATGGGGGGACGCAAAGCGTTGAAAAATAGTTTTTTTTTAATTTCCGGCTTACTGTGATGTCTATCGAAAAATGTTTTCTACAAAAGTTGTAGGTTTAGTAAAAATCTACAACTATTATTAATAACACTTTTTACAATAACCTTAAAGTTTTAGAGATATTTGCAAAAACTCGGTTTTTAACTTTTTCTTGGTTTTTTATTTTTAATTTCAAGAAAAAAAATTGATTTCCATGAAATTGATTTTCGAAATATATATAATAAATTAAAAAAAATGAAATTGAAATGTTTAGCCATTTCCGAGAAAAGCTCGCGAGCAATGCTCGCATTATAATAAAATTCTGAGCTGGATCTGTATATAAAATATTTTTTTGAAATTATTATTGAAATAGCCAATATTATCGATACAAAAGCCAAATCTAAAGTTTTTAAATGTTTTTTCTATCTGTCTGTAACCGCATCACTTGAAAACCACTGGACGGATTGTAGTCACTAAATGTCGCTATGTGTTTTTAAAATACGTAATTTCAATTCGAGAAATTTTTTGTACATATTTGACCTTTCTATGATTTTATTAGATTTATTAGCACTATCCATTGTTTAAATGTCATAAAAAATAGTTATTTGGCTATATGAATTAGGTAGTAATATATGACTTATAATTTTTGGCCGAAACAATTGTCAAATGAACATATTTACTAAATAATGCTAATGTATGTAAATCCATACTAATATTATAAATGTGTAAGCGTGTTCGTTTGTTTGTCTGTCCTTCTTTCACGTCGAAACAGAGTAACGGATTGGCATGATTTTTTTTGTGTGTTGGAGATCTGGAGAGTGACATAGGCTACTCTTTACCGCGGGAGATTATCTACTCTCAATCCGCAAGGGAAAGCTCGTTATAATACAACCCAAAAAATATTTACAATCAGAATTGCTTGAAACTTAGTATTAATGCTCTTCAATAAAAGTAAATAAATACGTGTTTTAGCATTTTTCGTAATCCATCCAATAAGAGGTAAAATAGGGGATGAAATTTGGTATAAAACTACGTTTTAAGAGGTTTTTTTGTAGTTTTAGCCGCGGGTTCTGCTTAGTCGTTAAATATAAAAATCGGACAAGTGCCAGCCTAACACGCACCTCAACGGTTCTGTTTACCCAAATGCTGTTTTGTTTTTACTTACGTATTGTTAAGTTAATATTAAATAAAATACAAATATTTACGATCAAAAAGACAAAGATTTGCTTTTTACGTAGTCAGGCTTTTTATTTTTGTAATTTTTTTATTTACAGTTTTTTAGTTTTGGTCAGTTAGACATTTTTAGTTTTATTTAACAATTTCTTATCCTAAATTACCGCCCTCCCACCGCCCACCGAAGTGGGCGACCTCCCTGTGCGTTTCTTGGCTTCGCGCCCGGCTGTATTGCCGGGCACTACTGAGCCCCCCCACCACGACAAGGTGAACGCACGTTGGGGGAGACCCTACGATACCCTATGACACTCGCGATCAATACGAATATTATTATTATTAATATGTACATGTTTTAGAAAAGCTTCGTATGTGTATGTCTCTGACTGTATAGTACTATGTTGTTCTTTCATCAACTTGTTCTCTCCTTTTTCATTCACTTTTTACGCTGTCGGATTTTTTTTATTTTTCTAATACTGATTATATGTTACTTTCACACCGCTAATTAGGTTGCTTAGGATGTATGAGTACTTGCTTTGTAAAATTTGTCATCAACAACATCCTAAAGGTGTCTTGATACCAAAAAACCATCCAACCTACCACCTATAAAGCTACTACCGAGATTGATAACAAGTCTATCAACACTAATATAAAAGAGCTGAAGGATTTGTTCTTTTTGTATAAACACGTTAATCTCTATCTTGAATTGAATTTTGCATTTAAATTTTTTTTTGCATTTAATAGCCAAATTCTTGACAAATGTTAGTTAAACGAGGATTATAATCTGAGATCACGCTACAACTTTTGATATCGAAACAGTTATACATAAAAATATGCCAGAGAAGCCGCGGGAAAAACTATTTTGAAGTAATCATACCTGCCATACCTGATTGCTAGCGGCTCGCAATGTTGTGATGCTGTCTAGCAAACTAGTTTAAAACAGTAGCCCGGTTGTATGTGCCGCTAGTCCGACAATATCGCTTACGCTGGTGCAAGTAATCGAGTATAGTGTATAAAGTATAATGTAGAAGAACAGATACGAGTATTTAATTATATAATTTAAATTAGTAGAAGTCATACGTAAATATTACGTTAGATACGTAGATTTAATAATAGTGTTCTTTCCTGCTATTAAATATCATTCCAATCGCTAGTGTTCTCATAAATCATCATAGTGACAATATGCTGTTATTAATATTTTCTGTTATAATAGTTTATACTATAAAACTATATTTAAAACAAAGTGTGAAAAAATGTGTCTGCAGAACATCTATGAAAGGAAAGACTGTGATTGTTACGGGATCAAATAGTGGCATAGGATATCATACTGCAATAAAATTAGCATCGAGGGGCGCCCAAATTATACTTGCATGTCGAAATAAGGAAAAAGGAAAACATGCACAGATGTCCATCATAGCTGCTACTGGGAATTACAATATTTTGGTCAAACAATTAGATTTGTCAAGTCTAGCATCTATCAAAAGATTTGTAGATGATATTCTGATAGAAGATTACCATCTCGACGTTCTAGTAAATAATGCTGGAGTATTTTCTGTAGAAAATAGCTACACAGAAGATGGTCTGGTCGAAGGCATGCAAATCAATCATTACGGACCATTTTTGCTAACTTTGCTACTACTACCTAAATTGATAAGGTCGAGGTCAAGAATCGTATATGTCAGTTCCTTAATTTATATATTTGGAAAACTTGATTTGAATACAATCAATAAGCCTGCTAGTAACCGATTAATAACTTATGCTAACAGTAAGTTTTGCAATTTAGTATTTCATCAAGAGCTGGCGCGACGTCTGAAGAATTCTGGTGTTGTCGTAAATTCTGTACATCCGGGTGTAATAAAGACAAATCTTTTGATTGAAGCTAATTTTATATTTCGGCTATTCTTTAATATTTTACACTGGTTCTCTGGAAGGTCAGCAGAAGACGGTGCAGAGACGGTAGTCCACGTGTCAGTTTCGAAAAAATGTGAAAATGTGACTGGAAAATACTTCATAGATTGCAAAGATTATTATGTTTTACCTAAGGCTAAAAATGAAATATTGGCTCAGAAACTATGGTCAATGTCTGCCAAGTGTGTAAAATACAATGAAGACCTAAACGATATATTAAATTACTAGCGGCTCACTCTCGCTTCGCTCGGGTTTGCCTCTAGAAAAACTTGAACAGAATTGTACGTTTTCCGGGATAAAAAGTAACCTATGTGCTATTTCAGACTATCTTTCTATTTCTGTGCCAAATTTCATCCAGATCTGTTCAGTCTTTGTGGCGTAATTGAGAATCAGACATCTAAACATCCATCTAAAGTTTCACATTTGTATTATTAGTAAGATCATAGAAAAAAAAACATTAAACAGTTGGACGGAATAAATTATAGTTAACTAGCGACTCATTTGTTCCTAGATACCTTATGACGGTTAGTATGGAATACATAGACTATATAGTCTATAGGAACAATTGATACCCCATACAAAGTACCACCCCCCTTTTCACCCCCTAAACAGATGATTTCCGGAGTAAAAACTATCCTATGTCCTTCCCAGGGTCTCAAACCATCTCCATATCAAATAAAAGTGAAATAAATGAAAGTAAGCACTAAGTAAGTTCTATTATTCATATCATATTATATTTCTTATTAAGCACGTTTCTGAAGGAATAACACACATTCATAAGCACACACTCGTACACGCGCTCAAACAATAAGTAACATGGAACCCTATATACTTATTTAAACAAAAATATCGGTAGTCGAGTGCCATTAGGCTTATACGTCGGAACCCAGCTATAATAAGCGGATTTGGCTGATTTTAGATTTTTCGATTTTCATATACTAAAAACTAAAATGTTTACCCTTTGAAATCTTCTGCTAATGTTTTTTAAGGGTTGTCCCATGAAAATGATACTACTTCTAGAAGGTATAGTACGTTCCTCTTACAGCTTTATATTTTTCCTTCCAAGTATAACTAACTCAGTTTCTATAAAAAATATAATGACTTACCTACGCTTCGCTCGGGTGCGTTCCTAGGTACATTATAGATATGAATAGTTATTGCGAGTATGTCTTAAGAAAAAACTTATGCTACCTATTGCAGATTTTTCTGTACGCCTTATTGAGACCTAGAATTTTCTAGAACATTGTTTTGATTTAAGGTTTGGCCAGCGTTAGACATGAAAATTTCTAAGGACGACTCGACAGAGCCAGTTCTTGTGATCTCCCGTGGAAATGTAAGTGACAGAAAGTAGTAAAAGCTGGACCCGAGTAATAAGGTATTGTGCACACGGCACATTATCACTACACAAATTTTAGTTAAAATCGGTTCAGCACTTTTTACGTGAAACGCGCACATCGATTTCACTATGTTACTGTTTTATTATATGTATAGATAAAAATAGGTATTGCCAGTGTACATTAGGAGATAAACATTTGACATTCTGGACTTTTTTGTAGGTCTTTTTAAGACCTACAATTTTTACTACATTTATTTGGTATATCTAGCTTTTAAGGTTTAGCCAGCGTTAGCCAAATAAATCTCTAAAGACGACTTGATATAACCTTGTTAAATTGAAAAGTTTTATATAAAAAAACTTGTATAAACAACTTTAAAAACTATAACATTATTATTTTCCTAAAATAAATTCCGATTTAAAAATTCCGATAATTGTATTTTTTGTGGAGTGTTCTTGAAACTTAGTAAAACTTGGTAAAAAACTTAGTAAAAAACCTTGTTCAAAAGGTTATAAAGAATTCTACAAAAAATATAGCTATAATTAGCACAAAATGATCTTACGATTTTATCGCATTAGATTTACGAGTTTTTTGACAGTTAAAGTCGACCGTTGTTACTGGGGCTAAAGAAGAATAATAATAATTCGGAAAAAAATATGTTAACAGTTTGTTTAACAATAAAATTTTATAACGCATGCATTATTTGCCTTTGCTTCGATGGACTAGTCGCTAGCATGTACGGCATCTGAAGTGCCTAGGTTTTAGCTAAATTTACAGTTAGGGTTTTCTGTCAAGAAAAAACTTCAACAATAACCCGGAGTTAGGAAGTTGGCCGCGTTACACTCCCGTAACATACGACGGACATCGTTCTTGTATTTTTATATTGATCAAGACTCTCAATACTTTGGGGGGGAAAAATTATAGATTAATTCGACAATTGTTTCACATATATAATTATCATTCCGTGATCTGGAAGCTACATAATCATCATCAGCTTTTGGGTACATTATCATAGTATTATATAAACCCGTTCAGGTGGCACGAGATGAGCCACTTTAAATGCTACATGCAAAAGTAGAAACCCATTTTCGGGCCCTGATAATTTTTTTATTTTTTTTTATTATTAATGTTGGGTGTGGTGCCGAGGTCGGCCCTAGCTACGTCGACCAGTTTTGGTCCATTGTAGCTCCCTTTATAGTGAGTTCAAAGTTCTCCGCTTAGTCCTGTTGACTCCAGGAACTTCCAGATTTTCTGAGCGGGGAGCATCTGTATCTCTTCCGGTTGCATAATATGCTGCCCTAGATAGATACTTCTGCGGTGCATGAGTGGACCGCACGAGCAGAGGATATGCATAGCAGTTTCCTCTGTCTCATGGCATAGTCTGCACATTGCGGTCTGACTGAGGCCGAGGGTAAACATATGTTTATTGAGTTTGCAGTGACCAGTAAGTATTCTGGTTACTGCACTGGTTTTATACTTGTTGAGTTGAAGCAACTCTTTTGTAAACTTTTTGCGATATCCCTTAATTAGCGCTTTAGAGTGTATTTGTCCAGAAGTGGATTGCCACTCTTGAAGTGCTTGGCGATTGCAGTGAATTTTGAGAATTGAATAGGCATGTTGTTTTGCAATGCCACAGAATGGTTCTGGGCCACAATCTGGGGTTTCAGCGCCCCTTCTTGCCAATGCATCAGCCTTTTCATTCCCATCTATGCCTGAGTGACCCGGGACCCATCTGAGGGTAACTCTGGATTTGCCCAGGACATTCAGATTATCCATACAGTCTTTGACCAACTTAGAGTTGGTCTCAAGAGAATCTATAGCCAGAAGTGCTGCTTGGCTATCTGAGTTGATGTAGATATTTTGGTTTCTAAGCTTCCTCTCCAGGATGACTTCAGCATATTTGTTGATGGCGAAGACCTCGGCTTGGAAGATGGTGGCCTCCTTGCCCAGATTGACACTCATGTCAAATCTAGGCTTAAGGCCATAGATGCCGCACCCTACATCAGATCCTTTCTTGGATCCATCTGTAAACCAAACATGACTGCCCTTTTTGTGAGACTCTTGGTTTTTTAGCCACATGTCCCGGTTGGGAAGATCTATTTGGTACTGTTTTGCGAAGTTAAACTCTGTACTCATGCCATCGACTGGCATTTTCAGAGTTTTGTGTTCGAATGTCAACTCCTTGAGTTTGTTCATATAATTAGGTAATGATACTATTATTACAAACTTCAAACTTGTAATAATATTATTATTACAAGCTTTTATTTAATATCACTCTATGCACAAGCACTCCCCATAATTACATTGTGCAAACAGTATATGAAACTTATGTACAGTCAACAGAACAAGGAGCAAAGATATATGAACCAGTGAAATCTGGAACAAAAGTTTTCACATTAACACCTCCAGGTAAATTTCTAAGAAATTAATTAAATGTCTAAGAAATCTATTGTAAACGGTAACGCCGGCGTGTCCGCGGTCGTGGAGGGATTAAGTCATCTAAATATCAGATAATCTTTCTTTATTACAAATATAACAACTATTTTTAAAATTTTTGAAGTAAAACTTCTTTAGAATCGTTGTGATTTGAAACTCGATGAATCGGAAATGCAGCACGAAAAAGAGACAAAAACATAATTTTAGATTAAGCCGGCGAGAGAATGAGATAGAATACGTTACACAGGAAGTCAAAAATAATACTGAATAATATGATATATCTATACTAATATTATAAAGAGGTAAAGTTTGTGATCTTGTGAGTTTGTGAGTTTGTGAGTTTGTGACGTTGTAGGGGGTAATCTCTGGATCTACTGAACCGATTTTCAAAATTCTTTTACCAATAGAAAGCCACGTTCTTTCTGAGTGTCATAGGCTATATATTAACCCGAAAAATGAAAAGGTTTTTTCGTGGTAGTCGCATTTGCAAAGTAAGTCGGAGAAAAAACGGTCAAACGAAAACGTTTCTTACGAACGCTGCCTTAACGATGAGAGATATATGATTATGTTCTAGAGAAAAGTTGTAGAGCTTAATAATGCCTACAAAAAAGTCAGCGACAGCATATGTCTAACTTTTATACTTAAGTCACAAAAAGTAGTTTTTTATATTAAAAAAAATAATTTAAATCGGTAGGTCATGTTTATTGGTCATATTATCAACAGTTATGAATTCTTATCAAAATAAGTAAATTTATCGTCTAAAATGTTTAAAATAAAAGACTTTTCCCTTTTACTGCATATAATTTGGACAAATGGTTAAAGAGATAATACAACATATTCGTATGTATAGACGAACCCGAGCGAGCTGTTTATCTGTTTTTCTCTTTGTACGGGCTAATCTCCGGATCTATTGGAACTATTTAAATGAAATTTTGCATGGTGGTACCTTATATGCCCGGGCAACATCTTAGATACTTTTCATCCTGGAAGATTAAAGGGTTCCCGTGGGATAGTTAAAAAACTATAACAACTTATACATCTTAGTACACAAAAACTACTGATTGGATTTTAATGAAACTTTACAATAATATAGTTCATACATGCCAAAAACAAATCAGCTACTTTTCATCCCGGAAAATTAAAGAGTTTCCGTGGGATAGTCAAAAAACTATAGTAACTTCTACAGCTTAGTACACAAAAACCACTGATTGGATTTTGGTGAAACTTTACAATAATATAGTTCATACATCAGAATAACAAATAGGTAACTTTTTATCCCGGAAAAATGTACTTTTCCCGTGGGATAGATGTTTTTGTTTATTTGTAACGTATTATGTACACAACATAGACCCCAAAACAATAGTTATTAAAAAAATTGTCTGTTTGTCTATTTGCCTGTATGTCTGTTTGTCTGTTTTTGTGTGCGCGTTTCACGCGAAAAGTAATGTACCAATT